TACTACTGCTACCAATTCTCACTCCCCACTCTCCCATGATTATTCCAACCCCCTCAATCGTTTGGCTGCGGTCCCGGTCCGCGCTTATTCCCAATCCTGGCTGGGGGGAGGGGGGGGGAGGGGGGGGTTTTGATCAAAACCACACATTACGACGGCTTGAACCCTCTATTCCGAATTTATTCAGGCTCAAAGGAAACATGGCGGATCCAGTACTAGTAGACGCGGCAGACCTTGCCGCGATTGACACAAACACCGATGTCACCGCCAGGTACCTTCATGCGATGGGCATCCGCTCCCACGCTACGGTGGCATCATTCATCTCCGACGACTCCATCGTGGACGAGCTCATCACGAAGTTAAAGGCGGGAGTACGACTGGGAACGACCGAGTACAAGTTGGCGGACACGACCGAAGATGCCGCCCTGAAGGCACAGTGGCTGGTGCTCAGCCGACACTGCCGAAAAGCATAATTACCAATCGAGCTTTTCGACAGCTTCGCCAACCGGCACAACAACGACACCCGCGCCCTCGACAACACCGACAGACCGAAACGTCGTGCCCAAGAGTTTGCCAGCCGGTGTCTCCGCTAAACTCGTCGAGGATTGCAACAAGATCACTTTGGATGGGGTACGACGAACATTTCCTGAGAAACAGCTCTTGGGAGCCGAGAAAGTACTCGCCCGTATGTACCACGAACACCACTCTTCGAAATTATACACCGCGACCCCACTCGGCGAGATCATGGCACAACGAGGACGAGCTTCAACACAATCAACTCGAACCGCAAGAAGGATCCCTCCGAGAAGAAGCTTATCATTGACGATAAGAACCAGATCTCCGAGAAATCTCAAGATGATTGGGACGTACGTGGGCAAAGGATGTTGATCGACGCCACACAAGCACTTCGTTGGGCCTGGATCCTCCTCAAGTACGACACTGAGACGGCGATTAGCAAGTACGTCGATTGGTTTCAATCATACCGAATGTGAAGACGCTACGTGAGGACTTTGCTTGGGATATTGCGATGCGGATGCGGTCCAACGAGACCTTTCGCATCATCACCGAGGAGCTCATGGTGGACATCACCAAAGTCAATGAGATCTTACATCAACCACTTACCAAGAAGCAGCGAGTTACCAAATGGTCCCCACCAGGCAAGGGACGCCGATACAGGACCACCACCACCGCGTCATCTTCGTGGCCGCAATGGCCGACACAAGCCCCACAGAGGCCGACTACATCCCCCAACCCGTGGCCTACCCCTCCAACATCTTGGACGACACCTCAGCCGACACAGACTTCGCCGATGCCAACACCGAGCTGGACACCCACCGCCCCGACACCGACCTTGCCCTTCAACCCCACACCGATACATCAGACACGCCCGCCTTGGCAACAGAAAGGTGGGGACAAAGGCCCTAAAGGCAAAGGGAAGAAAGGCAATACAAGAGCTACAAGAACACACCGAGGCCTGGTACAACACCCTACCATCACATGTACAACGAGCCTACAGCCATGGGCAATCGGTTACACAAATCCCGGTTTTGATACACCTCCTACGACTCATCAAATACCCACAAACCGAGGTCTTGTTCCGCGAATTGTCACAAGGATTCCCACTTATGGGGAGCCTTACACCGGCGGTAAATTGGCATGTCCGACAGGACAAGAAATACCTCCGACCGACACCCATTGAAGAGTTCCGCGACAAGAACCGCGATTACATCACAGATAAGATCAACAAGAACAGCATCGACGATCACTGGGAGCTTATGCTTGACGAGATCATGACGGAGGTCAAGATGGGACGAATGAATGGACCATTCACTGCACCGAGTTGGTGGCCGAAGTCCGCTGTTGCCCCGAGACGTCAAGGTTTTGATGAGACCCTTGCACTACCACACGATGACCCCTTCATAGCGATGGCATTCAGTATCGAACAGACCGGCAGCGATGGCAACACGAAAGTACGCCCGGGAGAAGACTGGCGACGAAGTGGACACAACACGACATGTACAACGCATGATCAACCGTACCACCACACACCGGACCACTTCGTATCGCTTGGCCTTGCGTTCCTCGAAGAACACCGACATAGACAACTCCGAGTTTGGGGACATGACCACGATGGAGCCTACCGACAACTCCCACTACATGACCCACGCGAGGCGTACGTCTTGTTGCTTACGCCGATGGGGCCCACGCTCTGGAGCCACAATGTTCTTTTGTTTGGATCAGCGGCCAGTGTCTGGTCGTACAACCGATTCGGCGATGTGCTCGTGGCTTGCAGCAGGACCCTCGTGTTGTCTCCGGCATTACACTATGTGGACGACTACGGCTCCATGGAAGATGAGACCTCAGCAGACAGCAGCTTCCAAGCCTTCGAAGATTACAACGGTTGCCTCGAGATATCCATGAAACCAGCAAACGACAACCTCCGCAGAAACAACATCGTATACAAGGTGTTCTCGTATCCTCGGACGAAGATAACCTCGTACTTACACCGTGTCCCAACCGAGTACGAACCATGTGCCAACAAATCGAGAAGTACTTGACGACAGACCGACTTGCACCCGAAGAAGCACGAAAAATGGCTTGTAAATGCAACTTCCTGACGGGTCGATTGTTTGGCAAGGTCGGACGAGCACCCCTGAAGGCGATCTATGCCCGAGCCAACTCCAACACGTACAACATCGACAAGCCCACCAGATCCTCGTTGTTGGCACTCAAAGACATTATTTCACATTGCCAACCGATGACGATCCCTCGAAACCCTGTGGCGCGGGGATACAGCGTCATTTATACAGATGCATATTTCAAGCTGGGAGGCCAAGTATACCGCCCAGGCGATGAGAACCTGCCCAATTGGAACTCCGAACAGACAAAGAACATCGAGAACGGCCGGGCCGCAGTGTGTTTCCGCCAAGGCGATGTGCACGATGCGGCCTATTTTCAGGGACGACTTCCCACCGTTCTACTTCGACAATTCTCCTCCGACCAAGCGTTTAGCTATTTGCTCGAGGCTTGGGCTGCAATCCTTGCACCGCTCATCTTCGCCCCTTGGCTCGGCAACTTTTACCTCCAATGTTGTGACAATGAAGCATCACGACATGCGTTGATCAAAGGAGTAGGCAAACACCAGCCGTTGAATTGCCTTATTGCAGCACACTGGACCTGGCACAATCGACGTGGCCTGGCACACCGATTAGAACGAGTTCCTACGAAAGCCAACATCGCCGATGACATCAGTCGCTTTGAGGAAGTGGAACTCGAAGAACAATGGATGTTCCTCGAATTATCGAGCGGCCAAAATCATAGGGGATATCGAGTATGCCTCGACACAAGGATTCACCGGATTGCCGGGGATCGCTCGCTTACACGAGCGCTTACTTGAGAAAGACCGGTAAGGTCTTGTGGCGTTCGCCTGCGATGGGAGGACGCGACCACCACCGATGGGAAACGGTCGGTCCTCCGATACATCGATAGACCATTTCTGTAAGAACTGAAGGTCTACATCGATGGAACCGATCAGACTCCGAGAGATTCAAATCACAGAAAACGCCACCCAAGCGAAAGCAGTTGGAAAAGCCCCCCCCCTTTCAGGGATCTATGCTATATGTGTGAAAGCGCTTGTTGTCACGTATATATCTATATAATATGTGTATATATATGTACATTTATATTCATATACGTCTGTACCCATGTTTTACTATGCATGTCTCTCCATCTATCTGTCTGTCAGTCCGCCTGTCTGCCTGCCTGTATGCCAAATGAGGCTTCAATCTGACTTAACCTCACCTAACCTACCTTTAAATCTACTCTAAGCTATAGTCCCAATAAAATTTAACCGGGTCTAGTCTAATCTAGTTTAGGCTTATCTAATATAACCTAAGACTAAGCTCGCCTCTTCCCAGGGTTTGCTGGGGGCTAGCGGCGCTGTAGTGGGAGCTCCTCCAGCACAAGCACAATTTGGATTGCGACTTGGCCTGGAGGGTGCGTGTAGCAACTAAGGTCTAGGGTTTAGTTATGTTTAGTTGTTATAAGGTTTAGAAGTTACTTGAGGGTTTTAGAGGTTTAGGATTGTTTTTGCTTTTGCTTCAATGGGCATATGAAGCTTCACCCTCTCAGTCCTGAGGTTTGCTCCGGACATCCCCGCACCGGATGATGTGGGCGCGGTGCCATCAGATGCGCAGGCACTTTGGCACGAGATCATAACGTTTATACGTCTGATCGCATGATCCCTTACAATCCCTTACAGACTTTTTCATTGGACCACAGTGGCAGAAGGGATTGCAGTTTCAGTATGGGGACGCCCCTACATGTTAAAGTATATTCCTTAATCGAGGGTTTCGGGATCTCTGGATTTGGCGGTTGGGATGAGTGCTGAACGAAACCGAGGTGACGCCAAGCGGCCTTGCGTTTAAGTCTCCAAGCCGCATCTAATTTTGAGGCTTCCTTTGCTTACTAATACTCGTTTGAGGGTTCCTCATGATAACTCTGGCAAATAGCACCAAAGCCATAGTTTCAAGTATTAACGACCCTAAATCCTAAATTCCTGACAGTAACAAAGTACCCTGCCCTTCAGAAGGAACCCTTACCCTAAAACCTTCTACTGATGAAGGCTCTCTGAATTGGAACCCCGTTTTAGGTCCCCAACATAGTGCGGCACTGTTATACAAAGGACCGTAAAGGGACCCTAGTTTAGAGAACTGCCTAAACCCTATAAGCCCTATAAACCCTAGACCCTACAAACCCTATAAGCCCTAAACCCTAAACCCTATCATCCCGAAAAGCCCTAAACCCTATAACCCTATAAACCCGAAAAGCCCTAAACCCTAGACCCTGCTGGCACATGCTGGCACTCGAGAGTCCCTATGTTTTCGAGCTTCCAGGGGGGCTTCAGATCATCTCTTGCTGAGGGGGTGGGGATGCTGGGGAGGCCCGGGGCCTGAAGATATAGGGTTTAGGGTTTAGGGGTTCTTTCACAGCGCAAAGCGAAGGAGCTAATAAGATGCTCCTGCTTCATTTGGTTTCGGGCTCAGGGTCGGGTTAGGGCTTAGAGTTATGTTTCGGTGTCTTTTTGTAATATGGGGGCCTAAATATTTACCAGTAGTATTTTGGGGGGATCCTTGTTATAATTATAGT